ATGCAGCCCTCAACCCACTGTCCTGGTGAGCAAAGGCCAACAATGCTGTCCCTTGACATTTTCTTATCCTCTGGTCTGGGTGAAGATGGTCTGGAGTGTCCTGCTGCCTACCATCCTTCTCCTCTGGCCTCTCACAAAGCTGCCCAGCCACTCAGAGCCTGACTGTCTTCCATCACTGGCGTCCCTTTGCCACCCCCTCCCAGGAATAGTGCTGTAAAAAGAAAAAAGGGGGATGTTAGAGAGAAAGGAGGAAATAAAGTCTTTGGAAAGCAGAGTTTTACAACAGCCTCAGGTTTTATGGAAGCAATTCCGTAATAACCTTCTACCTGCTCAGCTCCTTTCCGCCCTGCCTGCCGCCCACCCCGTTTGGCCTCCTGGATGCCCCCTCCCAAAGAGTCAGCCACCCCCCCCCAACATTCCATATTCCTGGTGGCTGATAGCTGGTAAGAAGATTCCCGAGATCTGCTTGGGCCGCTGAACTGTCCGTCCTTCCTTTCACCTCTGACATCCTGGGAGGGAGGTTTGGGAGAAGATTTCGTTACTTTACAGTTAAAATCCCCACTTGGAGTGTGTGGAAGCACTAAGGATTGAACCCATGTGTGCAGATTCGATGTGATTCCTTTTGGAGTCTGTTGTGTGTAATGGGTGACGGTTCTGGGGGCCTTGATTTCTTCCCCGCTGGAGCAAGTGTCCCCACACCTCTTTCTTTCCCACAGTGGGTCTGGACTCTGATCCTGGGTCAGAAGAAATAACTCCAGGTGCTTGGGGACATAGACGTGGGGATTTCTCTAATTTCGTTGTACACAGCAGTGCTTTTGTATGACCTCCACAGTTTCCTGGGAGCTTTCCCATTCAACTCATTTCTGTCCACTGGTCAGCTTCACACTTGTGTGGGACACGCTTGTGCCCAAGTAACGGCACCTTCATCCCCGTGTCCATTGCTACCATGAAATAAGCATCCCACGATGTACTCTGTCCCTGCGGTTTCGGGTAAGAGACACAGTAAAGGATATCGTGGTCAGACAAAAAAGTCACAAAATTTCATGACCTGCCCCGGGCCAGGAATTTCTTTCACCTTCCAGAGAAATATTTTAGAAGGAAGTTGTAAAAGAATCCAGATTTAAGTCACATGTGTTTGCGGATACGGTATATATTTTCCTTGAATATCAAGTCAACAGGCCAATTTTCAAGTGAAGCTTCTGAATCAGCTGGTGTTTTATAGCCACAATTCAAATCCGCAAATACTCAAGTTTTTCGCCCTTTCTATAAGCGTGTGATGGCTATAAAAATGTACGCACAGGCTTCTGGGTCATAGATCTTATATGAGCAGAATTGTAAACCCGTATCATTCAGAGGGGTTATACACGCATCACGTATGCACCATTAGATCTTATATACAAATGCCCAAGCACATTTAGTATTATAGTTGGACAGATTTATTTATTACATATTCTATACACAACATAGAGCACAGCACATGTGCACACTGGGTTCCCCATAAAGAATTATTGATTTGAGATATAGGTACAGGAAACACACATCTATTCAAGTACGCATGCATAAATCTCAGCTTAGCTTATCGATTAAAAAACGTTCCCCCTTCTCCACTTATTCTTTTTCTTTTTTTCTCCTTGCTTTTATTTCCTTCCCTCTGTTGAGATTTTCTCTCTCTTCTTATAGTGAAGGGCCCTTCCAAAAGCAGACCTTAAACCACAGACACTCACCGGCTGGTCCTGGCCAGGGCTGGCCTCTGCTTTCCCCATCTCAGCCTCCTTCTTGGTTCTTGGCCTCTGGGCCCTACTGTGGCCAGGAGCTGTAGCTTTTCCCTGCCTGCCCTTCCTGGAATTATCAGCTACCGGCCCCAGCTGTGCTCAGGCGCAGTGCTGGTGCAGGGAATGGCAAAAGCCTTCGAGAGGGTTTTCCTTCTTTCTCTTTAGGACTGGGGGGAGGTGGGGAACAGTTTGGTCTCTCAGGGCAAAGTGACCCCCACTCAAGCAACCCCTCTATTACGCAGCTCTAGAAGCTGGGCTCCAGGGGCCGCTTCTCTCTGTTTGCTTCTCTCTGTCATGGTGGGGTACCATTGTCTGGGAGAGAAAAGTATGTTTTGGGGGGTGGTCCTCAGAGCACCCAAACAAGGGGCTTCCTCTCAGCTGACCCTTTAGTCATTTGCCTGAGCTGGAATTGAGCTTCAATTTGAGGCAGCAGTGCTTTCTAGAAAGCCTGGCTGAAGTGGGACTCCTTGCTTGCTGTATCTGGATCCCCACCTGGAGGAGATGAGAGCTGGGGCACAGACTCCAGGGCTTGGGTGCTATTTCATTCCCTTCCCTCCAGAGCCACCTCTCCTGAGAAGACATGAGCCCTCCAAAACCTGTCACTTTGGAATTATTTCCACCCTCCAGCTCGTTTGTGAGCAAAGACTACGTTCTGGTCTCAGAAGAGAGGCCTGGGTCCCCTCCTTACCCAGTGCACCCAGGAGCCACCAGGGGTTAGGGACAACTCACCAGACAACCAGCAACCCACAAAGCTGAACCCTGTCTGTCTGGGACACTCCACCCTTGCAGAGCACAAGTCATGAGCCTGAATGTTCTCCTTCCTCTAACTTCTTCCCTAAACTAAGTGGCTCCTCAACTTCTCTCCTGTTGCAAAGAGAGACAGCGGCAAAGCCAGGGCCAGAGTGGGAACCAGAAGGGCTGTGGCCAGAGCCCAGCGTCTGCACAGCCTGGGTCTTAAGAACAGCCCAGTGCTGTGACTTTGCCATAAATTAAAAAAACTCTGCCCACAGCCCACATGTCCTTTTGGGCCCTAATTTATATACTACAGAAAGTCATATACTCAAGCCCGCCATGCTTCATAACACCATTATTTACAGCAGGAGAAGAGTTTTTTTTTTTTCTGAAGAGGAATACATTTATTAGAGGTAAAGCCAACAGCAGACTCCATAGGTCTGGCAAATCGAGAACAGGTGCTTTGCCTTAACTGTGATTCATTTTCTAGGCGCCCAGCTCTTTCCGCTGGCGAGTCCGGGGAGCTCCCTCGACTTTCCCAAGCGTCCAACCGCTACTTAGAAGAATTTGCATCGGATTTCCCACTTGGGTCCTATGGAAAGAGCAGATCTTCACGCTGTTTGGTTCCGGATCTGCTGGGCTGTCGCCCTCGGAGAGCTGGAGTGGAAAAGGAGGGGGCCGGCTGGGCGCCGGCATTGATCTTAAAAAAATCATTTTGAAATCGCCATAATGTGAAGAAATATGGCGCTTTGCCCTCGTATTTCACACGTAATGACACGAGATAGCTTCATTTGGAAAGAAAAGCGGGCGGGAGTGTGTGCGTGTGCGGAGGTGATCCACAGCTTTCTGCACGGCAGAGGGGTACATGGCCAAAAAGATAAAACCTCAAATTCGAATGGTCCCGCTTTTGTTAAAACGACAGGACTGGGACAGCCAATCTTATAAGGGCCCAGGGTCGGAGAACGCTGAGAAAATCGGCCCCAGCCTGCCCCAAACCTGACCGGAGAGGATCGGGTCTGTCCAGGGGCCGCATCTCCCCGAGAGCCCACACCACGAGAAGCCACGGCACCCAGGGCAGAAGCCGGAGGAAAGACTGCTGGAGATGGGCCAGGAAGCCAGCCGGTGGCCCCAAGGGAGCCCCAGCGCAGGGCCGCAGAGGAGATATCAATAAAGCGGGCTATTTGGAAGCTCCTGCGAGAGAGTCTGCAGGAGGGAAAGTGGCGGGAGGGTGGGAGACTGACCCTGCAGGCTCCCTGTCTATGCTGGTGTCCAATACAGCGTGTTTGGAAATCCTTCCGAACAGGAGAGGCGAAAACTCCCGACTCACCTCCTTCCCCACTGGGTGGAGGGGGAGATAACTCTGGACCCCTTCCCACACCTCTGCTCTGCTGACACCTTAGGGAAGTTCCCTTAACCCTTTCTCCTGTTCGGCTCCCCCATCTGGGCAATTTTAAAGGTCTGTTATTCAGTGGAGGAAAGGAGAAATGGCTATGCACCCCCCTTTCCTCTGACCAGGGCCAGAGAGAGGCCCAAGAAATTTAAAGGAGCTTTGACTATCTGTATTAAACTCGTTCAGAGGCTCAACTTTCCAGGGGCTGTTGTATCCCTTTAACCTCATGCGGGTTCTAATTTCAGGACAGCTAAATTTTAGGACAGGATCTTTGGACACGCAGGCCCTTTTATTCCCTTCTCTCCTCCCTCAGCCACTGAAGGGTCAGGAGAAACTCCCAGGCCTACAAACCTCCCAAACTAGTTACAGAGTCCCCTCCAAAGCAGACAACATCCTATAAAATCCCAACTTCTCCCCCATCTCTTTTACTTCATCTCCAGTGGCTTGCTGCTGCGCTGTTGTTTAATAAATATCTGGTGTCAGGGGACAGAGAAAAGGAGAGCCGGCGGGGTGGAGTGGAGGTGTGTTTGTGGGGGGACGGTACCACCTCCTCTTGCTTTAATTATGCCCTGGGCCTCTCTGGCTGCGCCCCAGGCTGGGGCTCGCTCCCTCCCTCTGTGCTGCGCTCCCTCTCTCCCTCCCGGACCCGTCTGGGGAGGGCTCCACAGCCAGCGTCCCTCCCGAGGCAGCCCGCTGCTTTCCCTCCGCCTCTCCTCCGCCCCCGCCGCCCCATGGCGAGAACGGCCCCCCTTCCTGCAAAAGGGGGGGGCGGCCGGCAGCTCGGGCTGAGGGTTACGTGGCCGCCGGAGCCCTGACGTGATAGCACATTGCATCAGCATAAAACAATCCATCCTCGATATGGAATGCGGTGCGGACGGATGACAGCGAGAGCGCAGCCCCCTCGCCGGATTGATTTATGTCGGAGCTGACGCTTTATCAGGCAGTCGGAAAAACTTTGACCAATCATTTTGCAAGGAGCGCTGAGCCAGGCTGCTCCACTGTACTTTGTTGGCTGAGAAGTTGAGCAGGGGTGGGGGTGGGAGGGTGGGGGGCTGGGGGTGTCGCGTCCGAAAGCCCTCACACCGGTCCGGGTGCCACCTCTCCCTGCTTGGGCGCTGCGCGCGAGCGCTTCGCTTCCCCCTGCGAGCGCCCGGATAATGTCTGAGAATGTCCATTTCTGGGACGCTTAGCAGCTATTATGTCGACTCGATCATAAGTCACGAGAGTGAGGACGCGCCTCCAGCCAAGTTTCCTTCCGGCCAGTACGCGAGCCCCCGGCAGCCAGGCCACGCGGAGCACCTGGAGTTCCCCTCGTGCAGCTTCCAGCCCAAAGCGCCGGTGTTCGGCGCCTCCTGGGCGCCGCTGAGCCCGCACGCGTCCGGAAGCCTGCCGTCCGTCTACCACCCCTACATCCAGCCCCAGGGCGTCCCGCCGGCCGAGAGCAGGTACCTCCGCACCTGGCTGGAGCCGGCACCGCGCGGCGAAGCTGCTCCCGTGCAGGGCCAGGCGGCGGTGAAGGCGGAGCCGCTGCTGGGCGCGCCTGGGGAGCTGCTCAAGCAGGGCACGCCCGAGTACAGTTTGGAAACTTCGGCGGGCAGGGAGGCCGTCCTGTCTAATCAAAGACCCGGCTACGGGGACAATAAAATTTGCGAAGGAAGCGAGGACAAAGAGAGGCCGGATCAAAGTAAGTTATAAAAAGTGAGGAAATACCCAGGCCGAAGGCCAGGCGAGGGGGAGGGGAGGGGAGGGGAGAAGCAATAAACTGCGGACAATGTGAAGGGAAACCGCGGCGACTGCCGGAAAGCGAGCGGGGGCGGAGGGAAGATGGAGGGAGGCAGATGAGTGCCCCAGAAAGGGAGACTGAGGCCGCTGGAGGAGCGCCGCCCCCACTCCTCCAAGTCCACGGGGGACCCGGGGCGCAGGGACCAGCTCGCCGCACTCTCGGCCTCCCTTCCCCCACGCCCCCGAGGCTTGGGCTGAAAGCCCGGGAAGAAGCCGACCACCGCCGGCTGGGAGAGGAGCTGGCGGGGCCGGGGAGGCAGCCAGCGAGGCCGAGAGCTCGCGCGGGCCAGGGCGGGAGCGCACCGGGCTCCCGGGCACCGCACGGCTGGCAGAGCTCCCCGCGCCACGCGCACACCGTAAAAGCCGGCCAAGGGGTAGTGGGAGGGGGCTCATTAGGATTTTATTTGCGATGCAACAGCTTGACGGAGGATTGTTTTTAGCAGATCTCGCTCAGTAGCCGCTCAGGGTCCGCAGCCGGCGCCGGGAGGGGCGCTGGAAGCCCGGGACCCGGAGACTGAGCCCCCTCCCCGGATGCGCCGGCCCCTCCCCGGGGGCCTTGCCTCCGGTCGCCTCCTCCCCTCCGTGGCATCCTCGCCCGGGTTCCAGCTTCCTTTTCTGCGGCTCCAGCTGCTCTCCGCGGGGCTCCCTAGCCCCAGCCAGAGCTGTCCGCCTCGCAGGGAGTTGGGGAATCGCTTCCGAACTTCGCGGCCGACCGGCTGCGTGGAGAAGGAGAGATCCCCCGAAAGGACCCTGGGGAGTAGAAGGGGGGGGGGGAGAGAAGCTTGCGGAGAGGCTAACTTCATCCTCGGAAGGTAGTTTCTCACCATCTCCCACCCCTCCAAAAGCACCCCCGCCAGGAACCGAAGTCTGACTAATTTCCAGGATGTGCTGCTCGCTAAGCGCGGCAGGAGGGGAGTCGCGGATTTTTCGTCTTTTAAGGTTGAGAAGGGCAAATTGGTCGGGGCTCTTAGCCCCCAAACAATAACCTTCAGGATGGTGGGCACAAGTCCTCACCCCTTACTCTTTTTGGAGAATGAGGGTCAGATTTTTTAGTCTTTGCTTTTGCCCTGCCGGATTTCCCATCAGCAGAGCGGCCCAGAGGCCCTTTGGGGGTGCCCTTGCCTGCTGGAGGGAAGAGAACTGCCCAACTTCCCTGAGGTCTCTGTGAGCTCCCACCACCTCCGACCTGCCAGGTTGAATCACAAGAGTTGGCATTTGGGTAACACACTGGCTCTTCCCAAACCCTCCCTGCTCACACCCAAACAGACCCCCCCCCGGCCCCAGGCCCACAAACCCTACCTGGAAAGTCCATTACTGCAGAGCAGCAGTTTGGCTAGAATCAATAATTAACAGTTATTTTCCTCTTTCCTATTTAATGCGGCTGTGGGTCCCATCCCGGGCACTCACATTAAGGAAGTAGCTGCAAATTGGTAAGACGCGGCACTTAGTGTAGGATGAACCAGATTTTTTTTTTTAATATTCAGTGCTTTTCATTTGGGGTGAAGGAATCTAGTAGAGGGTGGCTGTTATTTTTAATTGGCTCTCCTTTATTTGGCAACTTTTCTGAGTTCAGGGGTAAGGAGAAGAGAAGCCTGTATGTATGTTTCCTCTGTTTTCCCCCACTTCCACTCCGTCACCCCTTCCCTTTCTCTGTTCCCTCTCACCACATGGAGCCAGTTGGAGCTAGCTATGCTCTGAAGGACTTCTGTTACCCCCACATGATCCATGGCTCCCCCCCCCTTAGGACTGGACCAATCTTGCATCCCAATTTCCCTGAACTTACTTTAACCAAACTGCGAGCTGAGCAGGAGTGGAAAAGGAGACTATTGCAACCATAAGTTACCTGTGAGCCCCCAGCACTCCCTTGTCCACAGGCTGGAGTTGATAAATGGTTGCAATTGGGTTGCGTGTGAATTGGAGTGTGCTGGATGTTTGCAGCATCTCTAAATGTGAATCCCTATTTGTGGTGTGTGGGGGGGCAGTGAGATATCTGCACAGACACACATGGCTGCTGCCATGTGGCCAAGAGATGCAAGCTTGGGATCAAGGCAGGAGGGTGCACTCAAACTGGACTGGAGGGCCGGGAGGTCTCTTGGCTGTGGCTGAGCAGAAGCCACTCTCCTCTCCCCCAGCCCAATCCTTCTCTCACCTCTCAGACCTAGAGCCAGGACCCTTCAGTCAGCCACCACTAGTTAGTCTGGTAGAGCTGGTGGGGGAGAGGGCTTTAGCCAGGCTGGGCTCTGACCTGAGTCCTAACCAGTTCCGACCCAAGTGGAGAAAGAGACTGAGTAAGGACCTGGGGCAGGCAAAGCTTTGGAAGTGGTGAGAAGCCTGGCACACGTTTGGCTCTATCCTGACCAAATAACTCACCTGGAGGTGCCTATAGCAACTCTTGGCCCATCTCTGGAATCCTTTCTGGGAACCTGAAGGCCCAGGTGCCCCTTTCTCCAATGTAAGATGGGGAGTGGAGACCAGGGGTGCACCCTCGTGGAAGGAGAACACGGGGGCCCTTCACCCCCTTTCCTTTCTTTGATTCTATCGCTGCTTCTCTTTCAGCCAACCTCTCCGCCAACTGGCTGCACGCTCGCTCTTCCCGGAAAAAGCGCTGTCCCTACACCAAATACCAGACGCTGGAGCTAGAGAAGGAGTTTCTGTTCAATATGTACCTCACCAGAGACCGTAGGCACGAAGTGGCCAGACTCCTCAATCTGAGTGAGAGACAAGTCAAAATCTGGTTTCAGAACCGGCGGATGAAAATGAAGAAAATGAATAAGGAACAGGGCAAAGAGTAAAGATTCCCCCCAGCCCTCCCCACCCCTTCCCCATCTCATGCTTATTTATAAGGGATGGCTGTGGAGCCTGTGCTGTCTGGGATGTATTCAAGTGAATGGGGAAGGGGGTCTTTTTCTTCAAAGTCCTTTTCTGCATCTAGAGCCTCGCTCCTTTCCTTTGCCCTCACTTGTCCTTCTCTTCTCCCTGGGCCTCAGGAGGGAGTTTTATTGATTTAGAAGGTAGATATAGTTGGTTCCTAAGAAGGTGATGGGCCCCAAGGAAAGAGTGCCCCTAGTAGAGCCCCTAGCAACCCTCTTAATTTTCCTGGGAAGCCCCAGCCCCTCACTTCCAGCCTGCTTGTTTCCCCCCTGCACCTATCCCAAAGTCACCCAGGGACACTCCAACTGCACACAGCCCAACAGATGCCCACCTGCATAAAGCCTGGAGCCCACAGTAACAATGGGAAGCGCTCACAGTCAACACTCAAATGAAGCGACACCCTAAATGCAGACCATCACACCCCAAATCTGGCAGAATAGCCCACAGACCATCAGGCAAGTCCAGGGTCTGCCCCCGATGCAATTACACACCAAGAAGAAGTCTAGAGACACACTCCTGAATGAGGCGCTGCAGCTCAAAGGGCCCAGCATCACAACACCATCCCCACAGAATCCTTAACTATACCCGGGCATGGACTCCAGGGCAAGTGGGGTAAATTCAGCTCCCAAGCTAGTGGGTTAGAAAGGACAAGGAAAGGCAGCGGTGGTCTTAGGAGAGTCTCTTGGGTTTTATGAAGGTCGTCCACATAAACACATTGTGCTACAGGAAATGTTTAATTCTGCATGTTTTCCTCTCCTTCCAACAAAAGGAGGTCAGATCGTGGGTCGTAAGCCTTGGCAGTGTCGTCCTCACGTTCATCTGTGCCCCGCTTGACAGAGACTGTAGCTTCTCTTGCTCAACACCGGCCCTGAATTCGCATCTTCCCCAGCTCTGAAATCAACTCTGTTCGGCCAATCCACCTTGCACCAGCGAGCCAAGTCGCCCCTGTAGAAACCCCCCTCCACCCTCCATCCTCTGCTAGCTCTACCCCTGCTTAGGCGGAAAAGCCAAGTCAGGAGAACCCGATGGAGAATTTATTGTGAATCGATTCCCGGGCTCCTCTCCAGAGCAAGCTATGGAGGAAAGGGGGGAGCGAAGGCTCCCCGGGCGCGCGGAGCTTGACTTCTTTCTCCTGTCCTGCCCAGTCTGAGCCCTGCGGAGGAGCCCCGGGCTTGTCAGCTGCTCCCCCAGCGCAGAAGCGCAGAGACCAGCCCCAGTGCCTGGCTTTGCCTCCTGAGACTCGGGCCTGGATGGCGATCTGCGCGCGCACGCTTCTGGGGAGCAGTCCCGCTTGCTAAGGAAAGAGGCGAAATCGCACCTAAGCATTAGGCCGGAGCTTACTCTCGGCTTCCTTTCCTCCCCCTGCTACCCCACCTCTCCAATCCCCTTCAATTCATGGACTCTCTCTCCTGCTTCTCCCGACCCTGCAAGGGGACATTCCAGTAGAACTTCTTTTACTCTGTCGGTGGCAGTCGTGAAATTGTGCTGTGTTTTGTGATTTCTTTGGGGGTGATTGTCTCGCCTGTTTTCAGTTGTTGCTTACATGGGAGGGTTGTGGGTGGGAGTGGGGAGGGCGAGGGGCTTAGAGCTGATTGTTTTGGAAGGAAAAAAACAAAGAAAAAAATATATATCACTCTAGAAAATAAATCTTTCCTGTGTGTCATTCTGTGTTGGCTCACCTCACCTGACCAGAGGTAGAGATGCTAGTTCCAAGAGGGTGGCTTGGAATAAAGAGAGAGTCCTGTGCCCAAGAGGTTGCAGGGTGGGCTTCCTAGTGGAGCTGAGAGCTGGTCCAGACCAAGGTTCCCAAGACCACTGCTTAAACTGAGCAAGAGCCTTCCAACAGGAGAGCTGGGAGACTGGAGGGGGAGAAAAGGAAAGATTAGTGGTTTGGAGAGGGGTCTGGGTCTGCAGGGAACAATGGGAATCTTCCTCTTAAGTTGCACTAGAGACTTCCCCACCACCTCCAGAGCCAGAGGATGGCGAGGCCTGCCCTGCCATCCCTGGAAGCAGGTCCTCTCTCAGCTGGCTGAGAAAGCCACCTTGCTTTGGCCACTTTAAAGTATCATGCAAGTGAAGAAGGCAGTAACTCCGTTCTGCTATTCCCTGCAGCGGAGGGATGGGATGCAGATAGAGGCCTCCGGAAGGCCAGGCTGTCCTTTCTTCCACTCAAAAAGAGTAAGCCCCTTAGGGTTTTCAATCCCCACCTGGAGTTTGAGGCTCCAATTTGAGCCACAGGGTAGCAGCCTTGGTGTAAGGCGGGTGGAGTTTGGTAGGAGTGGAGGCAGCTCCTACAGGCTGCGAGAGGATGGTTGAGTGTGAAACAGAAATGGTTCAGGAGGGGAAAAAAACAACAAAAAACCCTTCCCAGTCGGACCCCAGAGTTAAATTCGGTTTCAAGGCACCTTTCTGTCCCCCTCAGACTGTGGCGTCCCACCAAAGCCTCAAATGGGGAGCGCTGTTCTCGGCAGCCCGGCCGTTCCCATCCAACCGCTGGGATTCTGCTTCTGCCGGGCTGGCGCTTGGGAGCCGGCCTCCTGCCAGAGCCTCCCACCGGGCCCACCCAGCAGCGCTGCAGTCCGCGGAGACCCTGAGGTTGGGGTAGAGGTAGGGACAAAGGTTGGCCCTCGAGAAAGCAGTCTGGAAGCGAAAAGGCCCTGCCTACCCCTCTCCGGCGAACGGAAGGATGAGCTAATCGGAGAGACAGCAGGAGGCAGGAGAACGCGAAGCTCCTGATACAGCTGGGCCCCAACCTGCATCCTCCGAGGAGGGTTCCAGTCGTTATATAAAGTGAATCTGCCTTTAGAGCTTGTGTAGAATGGGCTCCCTCCCATCCTGGGCTCCCAGCAGCCAGCCCGTGCTGAAGAGTGAGCCGAAAAGGCCGGATTCGGCCCAGAGGAAACGCAAGAAAGTGAGGCAGGAGCTGAACGGAGTGCTGCGGGGTAGGGGGCGAGGGCGCCCCGGGAAGCCTCCGGCCGCGTCTGGATCCCCAGCCCGGGGTGGCTTCTTTAAAAACAAACAAAGGCGAAGATGCGGAGGCTCGGAAGCTGGAGATGGGGAAATCTGCTGTCATAAAAGAGAGAGATTCAGAGAGGGGGACCGGGAGAGTGCGAGACAGAAGGAAGCCGGGAGAGGAATTCAATGCCGTGCGCGCAGCAATAAAAGAATATGACCGCTATAAAAGTTTATAGCGTATAAATTTCTGAAGGTTAAGAAACTAAACAGCAGCAAAGCAAACAGAGAGGGGAAACTTTCCGGAGCTGAGAGAGCCACAGCTGGGCCTGGGCTCCGGGTCTGGCGGGCGAATGGGTGGGCCTGACTGGGCCGCCCCCACCCTCACCCTCCCGAAGTGCAGGGCGCGGGGTTTCCGGGGGCCCCAGGGGGAAAAGAGGGGCGAGGAGGGAGGGGGAGGGAAGAACACTTCTGTTGTCACAAATGCTTCACGGAACGCAACTGGGACTCGTCTTTGTTCTTCGCAACCGCACCCCCTTCCAGAATCGGGTGTCATAAAGAAAAGCCCCTGCACACGCGCGCGCGCGCGCGCACACACACACACACACACACACACGCAGGTCCGGCGGGGCCAGACGTCTGGGCGCTGGCAGCCTCTTGATCCTTTTACAGTCTCGTCCCACTCTCTCAGGCCTCCTCTCCCCCCACAAAAAGCCCAATTGTTTCCCCTCAGAATTTGAAACAATCGTGTTGGGTTTGAAATGTGCCCGGCTCCCCCTTTTACGGGCCATGAACGGCGCACTGCTCGGCGGTCTCCGCCCGAAATTAGGGGCTTGAGGTGGGGGGTGGGGCGAGAGAGAAAAGATTCTGGTTTCTTTTTCGTTCCTTATCCCCTCTCCGTGTTTGTTTGTTTTTGTTTGTTTTGTTTAAAAAAATTTTTTTTAGCTTATCTGCACAATTTTATGAACCACTGCCTGATTTCCGACGCCTTTTCTCTCGCCCGCTCTCGTTTCCCTCGCCCTTTTCTGCTAATACTGAAAGTTTCTCCGCATTGTCGCCGCACTGGCTGGCTCTCTGAGAAGCTGGAGGAGACGGTGGCGGCGGCGCCTTTTCTCAGCGTGACCGCTAGATGGCACCCTTGCTCCACGTGAAAATTCTCCGTGCTGCGGCTGCCGGCGCCCGCGGCTGCACCTCGCACTTCGGTCGGCCCTGAATCTACGAATTGAGCGCTATCAAAAGTCATGAATAATTTGCCCAGAATAAAAATATTGGGTTCATTGTGGCTATTTCCCCCATTTTGTAGATTTCAGATATAGTGGTGTTGACCCCCTCTCCTCAAATGGTCAATTTTCTGAATTTCCCCCAGGAGCAGGGCTCAGGGCTTCTCACCCAGTTTCTACGTTCGGTGGGACAACAAATGCATGAAAACGGGGAATAATAGTAATAATAGGACTAGTGGATCCAAATAAAAGAGGAGGATTGGTTCGGGAAAATGAGATTATCCGGGGAGGGTGCGAGACGAATGTCTGCGGATACGGGTGAGCAGGTCAGGTGAGAAGGGCGAGCCGGCAGAAGGTCGGATATAGAGGAAGCCGCCCCAACCTGCTGCGGAATCGGCGGGAGAGGGAACCGGGTGAGCCAGCCCGGGGTAGGGGTGGGAGCACTTTGGGGAAAACGGATCCGTGGCTTTGGCGGGGATTCGGAGGTGCCCAGAGCCGGCGGGGCGGCTCCGCACGGACCGAGGCTCTAGAGCCTTTGTATGTGGCCAGGGCTGGGCAGGGCGGCGCCGGGCGACCCAGGCTCGGGGCAGGGGCTCCCAGAACGGCGAGGTGCGAAAGGCTCGGCTATTTCCTCGGTTGATCTGGGCGCTCCAATTTGGGCCGCCAATAAAGAGTGCGTTTTCCGGATGGACGTGGGAACAGGCGCAGTGCAGGAAGTAGGGGCTTGGTTCTCCCCACGTCCCGTGGCTTCCAGGTGAGAGCTCGGGCTCCGTGCCCCGCGGCCCCGGCCCCAGACCGACCTAGGGAACACCGGTCCCTTCTCAGCTTAGCAGCTGGAGGCCTGGACTTCAGGCATTTCTCCCTCTGAGACCTGAGCGCTGTCAGCCTGCCCATAGCCCCTTAGATTCCACATCTCCCATTTCGACCCGGCCCGGTCGATCCTTGCCCTCCATCCAGACAAACGCGTGCGAGAAATAGATGCCCTCCTCTTAAGATTAGCCCCGCCGCAGCCTCTCCTCTCCTCCCCCAGGACCGGGAGGCTAGCTGAGTTTCTCAACTTGAGTTTCTCTAATAAATCTGCTCTCCGTTGGGTGTTTATAAATTACCTCCTCGCTCTTTCTTGTTTTTTCTTATAATAGAAACATTTTCCTTCCATCAGGAATTTCTGGCACGGTGTAGGGATGATTTAGAACAAGCCATTGAATTTCTACCTCACCGGTGAGTCCTCAAATCATGACCATAAAATCCCCGGCACTTGATTAAAA